CACACTAAGGGGGGTGGCAGGCAGGAAGGATGCGTCCCATGTGTTGTATTAACAGACCGTCTAATTTGTAGCGTTTGTATGATTTTGTAGGATAAGACCATTGCAAAAATAATGACGTCTGAGATCCAACCTATTGCATGATTTATAAACATTTCATCGTGTACATGTCTGTGCACTTACTAATTAATTTTCCTAGTGTCATAACTTGTTCCTCTTGCTCACTAGAGTGTATATTGTATTCCTTGGATGTTCAGCTGATTGGATTGAGTGTTGAACTCTGTAATGTATTTTCTGTTGTAGATTTACAACAGCGCTTTTAGTTTTCCTTCACTCTACAAATGAGGAGCCTGAGGTTTGGAGAAGGTTATGAAATAAGTAGAAGAATCAGTTTGAGGGTTTTAGCCATGAGACTCAGAGGTCTGACCTTAGAGTCCCCCACAGCTAAAGTAGTTATTATTTACCCCGGATGCCAGTGGCCTTTATATCCTGTTAGGTTTAAAGACAGTCTAAGATGCATGCACAGGCCATGGCTAGTTAGTTATTAAATCTAAGTGTCATTTTCTGGGTTAGGCTCTGTTGAGGTAACAAAGAAATTGAAGGCATACCTTTGTTCTTCATAATGAGATAGAATCGATGTATGGGAGCAGCGAATAAGATATGGAATTAGCTTTAAAAGTGATGTCAGTGAAAGGTGAGGTAGCACTCAGGTCTTATTACCAGAGGCCGCTCCCTATTTTTAAAACTCCTGGGAGCTTTAACAAGAGGCAGATTTTCAAAAGGAAGGTCAGCATTGTAAAAAAGAAAGAGGGCCCTGGCTTTGATCCCGTCTGCTGGTGCTGGCTTCTGCCCAGAGTCTGGCTTTGCCTCAGCCCAGTGATCTGGGATCTTCACAGATTAGCATCCTGTACAGAGGGTTAGCCAGGAGTGTTGGCTCTGATGAGGAGGCTCCTCGTGGTTCCCCTTTGCTCTCATTGGCCATCAAACCTCTTCCTGACTCTAGACGTCCTCATCTGTAACCATTGAAAGTATCTACTTTCACTTAGGAACTATCATTTGGAGGGGTGGAAGGAATGTGTTTGGGGCTAGTTTTCTGGGTTAGAATATGGAACACATTTTTGATAAAACATCCAAAGCAAAATTATAAAATTTTATGTACAGAAACAGAGGATCATTCACTCCAACCCCATACCCCTCCCAGTCAGTGTAACCTAAGCTTAATATTTGGCCTGCTTTCCAGGTTCACTTCTAAAGTGGAAATATTTACAGCCACAAGTCAAACTCTTATTTCTTTGTTTAGACTCTTGAGTTGAACTAGCAAAACTTACTGCCTGGCAGAAAAGTTTCAAGTTCTACATTCTTCTTAAAACTATTATTATTGCTGTTATTGTTATTGTGTGTGTGCACGCACACATGCCACAGCATACATGTAGAGATCAGAGAATAACTTTGTGGAATAAGTTCTCTCCTCCCACCTTTATGTGGGTGCAGGGGACCAAACTCATGTTTTCCAGCTTCCGAGGCAACCATTTCCTCCTCCGGAGAGAATGCTGATTTTGTTATTTCCATGAAGTCATATTACTTATTTTAATATTACTCAGTATTGTACCTCTGTCTTAAGTGACACAGCCAATAGAGGGTATTTTATCACTACTGTGGTGGAGGAGGACCAGGCTTTGTGACGTGTGAGGCTCAACAATTTGATTGACACACAACTGGTAAGAACTGGACTTGAAACCGAGTGTGCGTGCGTGATCGCAAGCCTTTTGTTTGAACAACTTTGTTCCCATTTTTCCAAGTGATGCATCCTTACACACACACACACACACACACACACACACACACTCACTCACTCACGCACACATGCACATACACAGACACGCACACTTTCTTACAAGTAGAACTCATTTCCTCAATTTATAGCGTGTTCCCACCTAAGCATGTGTGATAACTATTTTCTTGCTTGAGAATTGGGGCTCGGGGGCCGGAACAGTGGGTTTGGCAGCTTGCTTCATTGGCTGTGAGTCCTTTCCTGGCTACAGAACCTGTCTGCATTGACAGTGACAATGACAGTCTCTGCCCACAAGGCTGTCTACAATGTTGTGGGGCCTGGTGTGCGCCAAAGCCTTGTTGGATTGTAGATGTTCCACTGTGCTTACAGATAAAAGTGAAGGAAATGATCTGCTCACTGATACTCTTCCTGTTTAGACCAGATCAGCTGTTGCTTAGCCAGTATAGTTAGGTTGCGTTCAGTCAATCAGCAGTTATTAAATTTGTACCAAGGGCCATCCCCTTTCCCAGGAACTGTAGGGACACAAATGTATAACCCTGTTTCCTATATCTGAGATCTTAACAACATACTTTAATAATTCCTTCCTACTAAATGAAAAAGAAAAACTAATTTGTAGATTTTTTTAAGTGAACTAAAATATCTTTCTGTTGTTAACAGTTGGGTTTTCTAAGTGTCTTGTAGTCTTAGATTTAAATACAAAGTGTATCTTTGGAGAATGGCACAGTAAGGATTCCCTGCATCACAGGAGCCTTGCTGTCTAGTACTCCTTGGCTTCAGTAGCTCCTCTCTCCAAACATAAAGGAAATGGTGATAAGGTACAGGAAAAGACTTGCTAGTACCCGTCCCCAAGCCCCATTCAGATTGCTCAGTTAGCTGGTTTGTTTTTAGAGGGTTATATCTTTCAGAGTTGTGTCTGGGTTATAAAGAAACTGTGTTTTCATACTGTATGAATGCCGTTTTCCTAAGTGTAGCCTGTGGCCTTCCTGTCGTTTCTCAGTGGCATCCTGCTTCTGGACCTACAGCGGTAGGTCCTAAAGCCCGTCCTAGTCCAGGTTCTAGCTTGTGTTTCAAGATAAGGCAAGAGAAAAAATTCAAGTTCCATGCTTCTGACTTTAAATGTAACATTCCTCCACAAAACTGATCCGGTTCACAGAGGTAATTAATTATGTGTGAGTTTTCACTGGCAGCCTTCATCGTCTAGTTGATAGTGCTATGTGTGTGTGGTTGAGAAAAGTCAAATTCTAGTGCCAGCAAAATGGCGCCATGGATAAAGTGCTTTTTGTGCAAGCTCAATGACCAGAGTCCACATAAACTTGGGAAGAGAGAATGACCCCAGAGTAGTTGTCCTCTGACTCCCACACATGTGCCATGGCAGGCATGTACCTGTTCTCACACACACACACACACACACACACACACACACACACACACACACACACACACAAATAAGTACTTTAAAAAAGTTATATTCTATTGTGTGGAGCTGATGGGGAGCAACTGACAAAAATCAGTGTGATTCCTCATTTTCAAGAAAATGTATTTCCTAGAAAGAGAATGTGGAAGGAAAGATATGCATGTGTCCAGGATGGTTTATTCTGCTGTGGTCCCAGTGTTTTTTCCCCACATATGTACATTTTCTAGTTCTGAGTGATAAGAAGTAAAAACAAACCTGAAATTGTCTTTTCCCATTGTACTACTTAATGCCATAGCCAAACAGGCAATATATATTGAATACTTTACTCAAAACTCCCTCAGTAACTCTATGTGGTTGATTCGAGCAGGTCCATTTTAGAGATAGAGAAACCAATGTCAAGAGAGGGTGACTAAATTCCTTTCCCCAGTATCTTTTAGATCCAGAGCAAGGTCATGGCAGCAAGTCTAGTTCATCCTTAGCTTCCGTACTTACACCAGGCAATGAATAAATGATCAGTTTTGCAAAATAAGAAGCCATTTTCCCTTCTGTAATTATTAATATACAAAATTCTGAAAGCACTTTAGTTAAATACAGCATTACATCTTCTAATCTGATGGTTGATGGACGATACCCATAATGCTTAGTGTCTGTGGTGCCAGGGACCAGCGTGCATCATGGTGATGAACTACATAATATGGCGCAGCCGTAATTAACTAGTCAGATATGCTTGTCAGGTGCATGCTTGAGGGAGGCTCTAGCCTGTGTCCCTTCGGAGACAGGGCGAGCAGATGTGTGCACTGCAGATCCTGCCGGAGTGTCCACACATGAGAGTCTCTCTTTCTATTCTCCTGTGTTGCTGGCAAGGAAATGCCCACCCCTCTTTGCACCATTCAGTAATAGTCCCGCACTAGGAGTGAGGCGAAACAGATAAAATCAGACATTGTGTTTATTAAGCCTCGTTACCGTGTGAATAGTTATAGGCATTCTCACTTTGCCGATGCAAAGAATCAAACTCCCTTGTGTGGAGAGCATGCTAGTCCTGAGGAACTACAGTGTGGATCTATCAGATGGCAGACTTCTAGAAGCCTGTGTGTGTGTGTGTGTGTGTGTGTGTGTGTGTGTGTGTGTGTGTGTGTGTGTTGGAGTTCAAGGTTGAGGGGCATTGCGGAGTGAACTTGACTGACACTGATGTCTTGATTTATGCAAACGGATACCATTATGTATTCTATGGATATGGTTGGACAGCCGCCTGGGCTTCACCGAGAGAAGCTGGGGAAAGGGACTCCAGCCCATTTCACCTCGAGAGAACAAACGCCACCTCTTCTTTTGTTGGTCACGACCTTCACTTTGTAGCCCCTTCTTGCTCATTTCTAGACTGTTTCCCATATTAGATTTGCATCAAATAGCATCACAGACACACCACATTTATTTTTGTGATGATGAGAGAGCACATTGTGTGTTTACATATATTCTCAAAACATTCTCTTTAGGATAGGCAGGAAGATTAAAACGAACAAAAAAAAAAAAAAAACTTCATCCTAACCCAATGAAGCCCCCCGCCATCCCAACATATGAAGTGATTTGCTTGGGTTGCAGTGGGAAGTCAGGGTCAGAACCCACCACTGTATCTCCTGATTTAATTAAAACATTTTTCTCTGCTTGCTAGTAATCAGCATAACTACTGAGCATGGCCGGAGGGATGAAGAAAGACGACTTGGAATTGCCCACTCTTTCTACAGAACTCCGTCATTGACCTGCTGCTCACTCCTTTTTTTTTTTTTTTTTCTACTCCAACAGGGAGGTACCTCCTTCCAAACCCGGTGGCAGGACAGGCGTGGCCTGCCTCGGCTGAGACGTCCAACCTCGTGCGCATGCGCAGCCAGGCACTGGGACAGTCGGCTCCCTCGCTCACGGCCAGTTTGGTGAGTGTCTTATACATGGTCGGAGTTGCCCTGGCCATTATGTCTGTGGGAATCTGTCTAGCTGCTTCAGCTGTAACTGGGTTTGCACTTCTATCCATGTAGCATTGACCATAGGATGGGCAGTGGGCATGTCTGTCTCTCTCTATGCCAATTTCTTCCTGCCCACCCCCAAGTGTGGAGTATTTCTATTTGGTTCTATGTCGGTTCCTTTTCTAGCCTTTAAAAAACTCCAAACAAACAACAAAAGCATTTCTAAATAAAATAGAAGGCTATACTAAAGTCCAATGGTAAGAAAAACACAGATGGCACCTGTCTGTTCCTTATCGGAGCCTCCTGCCCAGATGGCTTATCATGGTTTTTTGTGTATACATGTGTGCGTGGTGCGAGTGCATATTTATGTAGACATGCGTTGAGTCATCTGAGAGTAAGATGTGTGCCCATCACAGCCCTTGCTTTGATAATTGTCGTCTTGAGTAATGTTCTCACTGATACAACCCCGTGTCTGCGTAGCAGTCTGGCTCGGTTTTACCACCACCCGGCCTGTGTCCTTTCTAACGTGTGGCCGCCACGGTGGCAGGGTAGCACCAGGTCTGTGGAGGTCTGGTCTCTAGCATTTCTTTCTCTGCTCTGTTTGGATCTGGTGTGCTCCCACAGCCTGGCTTTGTCTTTTCTGACACCAGTGTTGTTGAATAAAAATTTCTAGATAGCGGGGCGGTGGTGGCGCACGCCTTTAATCCCAGCCCTCAGGAGGCAGAGTCAGGCGGATCTCTGTGGGTTCGAGGCCAGCCTGGGTTACCAAGTGAGTTCCAGGAAAGGCGCAAGGCTACACAGAGAAACCCTGTCTCGAAAAAAGAAAAAAGAA